GAATCAATTCCTGCTTCATTTGTGAAACCCTCGATGTGGTAGACTTTTGGTGGGAAGATCACAACATCTTTTTCAGGTTCTTCAGTATTGGTCTGATTGGTGTGTCTCATTTTTCTTGGATCCATTTTGGTGATTTAGTAGCAGTCATCTTCTGTCAGATGTTCAGATTATTTTGGAATTAGGTCGCACACAGCACAGTAACATTTTGTAATCTCTGCATCTATTAAGTCACTTTTTTGACAGTGCTCATGCTGAGTCTGTGTGTTCTTTGGCCTGACTTTTTAGAGGTTTGTCTGTTATGTTTGGTCTTTTTAAAGAATTGTGTAGTTTTTTTGCTTTATCATTTCTACCATTTTGTTTAAGAGTCACTAATTTTTGTTTTTATCTTATTAATCTTCTCTTTTTCCTTTTTTAGCAGATTGCATTGACTAATGAGTTTGATTTTAGCCTTTCAGAATATTGTAAAGAATGAATGTTCCTTATGTGATCTGAAGCATTGTTGATAGCTAGTAAAAGGAGCTCACTGGTGATGATCACTCAGATCCTTTGTATCTTAATTTTTTTGTATTTCATTTCATTTTTTAAATTATATTTTATTGTTTATGCCCTAACAGTTGACCCAATTTTTCCCTTGTTTTCCCCTCCCCACAGCACCCCCCCCCCCCCCCCGCCGAGGCAATCCCTACACTGTTCTCCCTGTCCTTGGGTCATGCATATTCATTCTTTGGCTACTGTATTCCCTATGCAGTACATGATTATTCTGTAACTACCAATTTGTACTTCTTAATCCCTTCACCTTTTTCTCTCATCTTCCTAACCCCACTCCTATCTGGCAACCATCAAAACATTCTCTGTATTTATGATTTCTGTTTCTGTTTCTACTTATTTATTTTTTAGATTTAATTGTTGAGAGATATGTATTGTTCATATTATTGATTTTCATCTTCTTCTTAAAGAAGACCCTATAATATTTTTGTAATACTGGTTTGGTGGTGATATAGTCCTTTACCTTCTTCTTGTCTGGGAAGCTCTTTATCTGTCCTTCAATTCTAAATGATAGCTTTGCTGGGTAGAGTAATCTTGGTTGTTGGTCCTTGCTTTTCATCACTTTGAATATTTCTTGCCAACTGCTTCTAGGCTGCAAAGTTTCTTTTGAGAAATCAGCTGACAGTCTTATGGGAAGCCCCTTATAGGTAACTAACTGCTTTTCTCTTGCTGCATTTATGATTCCCTTGTTGTCTTTAACCATTGGCATTTTAATTACGATGGTCTTAGGGTGGACCTCTTTGGGTTCATCTTATTTGGGACTCTGCACATCCTGGACTTGAATGTCTATTTCCTTCACTAAGTTAGGGAAGTTTTCTTTCATTATTTTTTCAAATAGGTTTCCAATTTCTCATGCTCTCTCTCTTCCTTCTGGCACCCCTATGATGAGAATGTTGGTACGCTTGAAGTTATCTCAGAGGCTCCTTACCCTATCCTCATTTATTTTTGGATTCTTTTTTCTTGCTGTCCTGATTGGGTGGTTTTTGCTCCCTTATATTCTAAATCACTGATTTGATTCTTGGCTTCATCCACTCTACTGTTGATTCCCTCTAAATTGTTCTTTATTTCAATTAATGTATCCTTCATTTTCAACTGGATCTTCTTTATGCTTTTGAGGTCCTCACTAAGTTCCTTGAGCATCCTTATAGCTAGTGTTTTGAACTCTGCAACTGGTAGCTTGCTTGACTCCATTTTGCTTAGTTCTTTTTCTGGAATTTTGTTCTGTTCTTTCATTTGAGCCGTGTTTCTTTGTCTCCTCATTTTGGCAGCCTCCTTGTGTTTGTTTCTGTGTATTAGGTAGAGCTCCTACATTCCCAGGCTTGGTAGAGTGGCCTAATATAGTAGGTGTCCTGTAAGGTCTAGTGGCACAGCTTCCCCTATTCTCCAAGCTGGGTACTCAAGGTACACCCACCATGTGAGCTGTGTATACCTTCCTTCTGTAGTTGAGCCTTGATTGTTGTTGGCACATCTAAGGTCAGCTACTGCCTGTGTTCTGTCCAGGGTCACACAGCATAAGTGATCTGCAGATAGCTTCTACTTATGCTGAGCTTGAAGGTTCTGAGGAGAGGACAAGCTGTGTACCAAGGCCAGCTGCTGGTGGTGCCAGGCTGGGCTGACAGCGAGAGAGAGGAGGTTTGCTGAAGCCAGGTACTGCTTGTTTGAGAGGATTTACGAATATCTGGAGCAGGAGCCAAGACAAGCCATTCTTAAGGAAAAGCCACTGGAAACAGTTTGGGTGGGCCTGAAAGTTGGGTGGGGCAGAGCCTCAGGGAATTTCCAGAGTTGGGTAAACAGTGTGAGCTAGGTTTATGGAGTCTCAGATATGGCACATACCTGCCTGCTCTGTGTCTCTGTGGGTGGAGGGCTCAGAAAAGGAACAGTGGCCTTTGCCAGCACTTCTTTGTGGGAGGAAGCTGTGCTCCAGCTCTTGCCCTGATGCCAGACAATTCAGTTTCTTCCTATATGTCTCTGAGGCCTTTCAGTCTGCTGTCCCAGTGCTGGAGCTCATAGGCAGTGAGTGTGAGTCAGTCTGTGTGCAGATCCTTTAAGAGGAACTGTCTAGGATTCCAGCAGTTTCTTCCACAGCCTCAATCCCCACTGGTTTTTATAGCCAGAAGTTATGGGGACTTATCTTCCTGTCACTGGAACCCTGGGCTGAGGGACTTGGTGTGGGGCTGGGACCCCTTGCCCCTGAGATATCCCTCCCAATTTTTATCTGCCATACATGGTTGTGGGACCATCTCGTTCTGCGTCTCTGCCCCTTCTACCAGTCTCGATGTGATTTTTTCCTTAATTTCGTAGGTGTAGGACTTCCATTCAGCTTGATTTCTGATGGTTCTAAATGATGGTGGTTCTTTAGTTTAGTTGTACTTTTGATGTGGTTGTGCAAAGGAGACGAGCCATGTTTATGTATGCCACCATCTTGACTGGAAGTAGTATCTTAATTTTTAAATTTTTATTTTCTTTAATGTTTTTTGTCTTCTGATCTATGAAACTCTGAAAGCCTATGGGTATGATCCCTGTAGTTCTGACATCTTTGTTTTCAGGTTTTGTTGTAGTGTTTTTTTGGTAGGTAAAGACTAATGGCTCTTCTTTCTTTAGGTTGTCTCCTTTAAAATATAAAATATCCCTCTTCTTCTAGTCATTTTTTTTTTTTTGTCTGATAGCTATATTTCTTATCCTGCTCTGTTTTTGTTTGCATTTCCTTGGTTTATCTTTGATAATTCCCATAATTTCAAATTACAGTACCAGTCTAGTTTGGGTCTCTTTTCAACACAAGACTAGGCTTTTGCTGTATTTACCCAGTGAAAGTCTGGCTGCTAATAACCCACTGTCGCATGGAGACCCTGGCATGTTTAGGTTTTGTTTTTTTGTTTTTTTGGGGTTTTTTTTACCTGTAGTAGTTTGCTAGTTTTATAATGTATTTCTTGTGTTCTATTTATGTCGAAGTAGCAACTATTAATCAGTAAGTGGGCATAAATGCTTTACAAATGTATTTCAACCTATTTTTCTCTTGTGGTTGAGAATTAAACAATATCTATCACTTATGTCCCATTCTGCCCTGGAGAGGGTGGGATTTTTATTACACTTTTATTTTCTCCTCACTCTAGGTTTTATTAAACTAAGCTGGAATTATAGTAACACAAAAATATGCCCCATTTTATATGTTAGATCCCTTCTTAACAGTTTCATTAGTATTTAAAAGTGTTCTAATGTTTTATAAAAGTGTAATAATATACTTAATTATTGTTTTAATAAATTATTTTAAGAATTGGTATTTATATTACATATAATTTTCCCTTAATTTTTTTTCTTTTGTAGTAAAGAGGCAGTGTTGCATGACATTTAGTTAATACTAACTTTGAAGTTTGCTGCCTTTCTATATTTAGTTAATATAACTTTAGAGTTTGCTGCCTTTCTGTATTGTCTCAACCACTTGTCAGTTTTGTGACCCGATATATTATTTACTGTCTCTAAGCCATAGTTTCCTCATCTGTGAAATGGGTGTTAAAAAGGACCCCTGTCCTCTCTCAGAATTCCCTTGAGCACTCTGCTGAGCTTTTCAGTCTGGAAGTTCTGTTGTCTATAGGCAGCCCCATGCTGGCTGGATGTAGCAACCTATACCTATCCCATCCTTGCTGCTTTATTTTCTGGCCTGGCCTTTCTGAAGGTGGAGTTTGTTTTCCTCTCAAGCATGGCTGCTAGTTTGGATCAGTGCAGAATTCTAGAGTCACCGCTTTCCCCTAGAATTATGGAAAAGGTTTTCCTTTTGTTTTCTGAAATTTTTAATGTTGCAGAAAAGATGTTCAATGCAGATAGAGTCTTTCGCTCTGAAGGGCAAGGAGCTACGGTATTTTCTCTTATTTTTCTTTATTTTTGGAATTTAAACATCTAGTAAATATATGCCTTGGCCTATGTCTTTTTTCATTGTTTCTGCCTGACACTCTAGTATGTTTTCCTCTATAGACTCAATCTCTTCAGAATTTTTTTCTACTATATTAAAAAATGATTTCTTTTATATCCTGTCTACTCTTTTCTTCTGGAATTCATGTTATAAATCATTAGAGTGCATGGATTTGTTTTTCTTGTCTCAGCTTTTCCCTCATTTTTTTTTTAAATAAATCACTTTTTATATACCTTGTTTTAAGTTTAACAAGGATTGACACGAAGTATGTTTTAGAAAAATAAAAATTGAGTGTATATTATAACTTTTGGGGGTCTTTTGAGATACCCCTCAAGAGTGGATATGTAGTATTACTTCTTACAGGTGAATGAAACATGCAGTAACCTCCCTTTGCTGATAATGTACAATTACAATCGCATGTATTATGTTTGTATACATACTTACTAAGTGCTTTAGATGGCTTCATGATTGGAAGATTGTCATTTTAAGAACCATACTGATTCAATTTAACTTATTTAAAACTGGCTTTACTGTTTTATCGTCATTTTAGGAGAAACTAATTCAAGATATTGTTCATTGTCATGGAATTTTAATCACTTCTTACTCCTACATTCGACTCATGCAAGATGATATTAGTAGGCATGACTGGCACTATGTGATCTTGGATGAAGGACACAAAATTCGAAATCCAAATGCTGCCATCACCCTTGCTTGTAAACAGGTATGAACTCTTATAACATGGGAGATGTCCAGGTGAATAATAGTATTTAATTGGGAATAAACTCCCTGATTTTAGTAACACACTTATTTAATCTTTCCTTGTGCCTTTGCATAAGGAATTTGAAATACATGTTTTGCCTTAATGAAGAAATGTTTTTATTCTTGTTCTTAATCATGTTTTTTAAAAAATTCTAATCGTGCATATTACTTAATGTCTCTTATAGGGATCAGTTATTAGAATGTAACCAAATCCAACTCAAATCCATAGTATTCAGCATGAACAATAAGAAAAAATGTTCCCTTATGTAATTGAAGAATTAAAATTGCATAAAGTGTCTTCTGTGTTTTGGAGACTACCAAAATGATATGTAATGTGTTAAATAACAAGATTGGAGTGTTCGGGGTAGGGTTGGTCATAATCTGGTAAAAGATGAATTTAATAAAAAATATTTTCTTTCCCAAAATAGTTCCGTACCCCTCATCGCATCATCTTGTCTGGCTCACCAATGCAAAATAACCTCCGTGAGCTGTGGTCACTCTTTGACTTTATCTTCCCAGGAAAGTTAGGCACATTACCTGTATTTATGGAACAGTTCTCGGTCCCCATCACCATGGGGGGATATTCAAATGCCTCCCCAGTACAGGTAACACTTTTAGTATTTTAATATTTTAATATACTCTGTAACCAAGTTGTTCAAGACATAAGAGAAATGACCAAATTTATAAATTGGTATCTGATAAAATTACAAAATTATTTTTGCTTGATAGCTCACATTTTTCCGGATGAGTTTTTAAAAATCATGTAAAATACGGCAGAGCAGTCAGAAATTATGAAACAAGAGTGGATCTGTTCTGGACAGAATATAATTTAGTGCAAATTGAGGTAGTACATCTTACAAGGTAGTATAAAGTTTTGGAAAAGGGGAAACCATCAAGAATTGTTCAAGGAAGACTTAATGAGGCAGGTATCCCTTATCTTGATTCTGGGAAAACAGGCTTAGAAGAACAAGGTCATTAGATTAAGGCAACAGCCATATTATGTGGCCATGGGCAGTGAAGAGACACACTTGATTGGACTAGAGATTCTATGGGGAGGTATCAGGATAGCTGTGGATTCTGGAAATGGGATCCTTGAAAAGGAGGCAGGGGCTCTCAGGCAGGAACAGGCAATGAGTTGTCTGAGCAGGACACTGGGAAGGGCAGTTCTCAGAGGGTTACTCAGGCTGTAGGTAGTTATGGAAGGGAAGCTGGCATTGAAGGATCTGCAGGAATCACTAGGGTGAGGGTGATGAGGACGAGGACCTGGACCTGGACCTCAGTGGTGGTTCTGAGAAAGAAGGTAGAGACCAAGGGCCCCTGGTGGCAGCTTTTTAGGCAGAACAAACAGGATGTGAAGGCTGATAAGATAAAGGAAATGGTATAGGTGGTGATAAGCTTGCTGCAACTGACCCCTGAGATTTTAGACCTTGGTGATTGGTAGAATGGAGTTGTCAGGCAGGAACATCAGGACATGAAGCTGACCTAAGAGAAGGCTTTTACCCTGGACAAGACCCAGGGTTTCTGTGCAGCTCTCAGGTGGGGCCTGTACTGGCCAGGTCATGACTGAACCACAAAGAAAGTCTTTCATGAAAAGAGAATTTCACAGGTTTTGAAATACTTAATTAGAAAAAGAATCTTAGACCTTTAAAATGAGAGGATTGTCAACAATTTCAATACCTTTTACATTTGAATGATTTTTTTATTAATGTTTTTAGGGGCTCTCTTCGTCCACTGAATCCCTATTGTTCTTTATTTATAGTGTCCTTTTTTAAACTTTTTATTTTGAAATAATTTCAGGTTTAACAGAAAGTTGCAAGAATCATAAAAAGAACTTCTATATTCTCTTCACCCAGACTCACCAGTTGTTAGCATTTTGCTCATGTTTTCCCACATTTGCTTGATCTTTCCTTTCCTCCCTCTCCCCCACTTCACTGTACATTCACACAAATTTATGAGTTTTTTTTCTGAATCATCTGAGAGCAAGTTACAGATGATGCCCCTTTCTTCAGATCCTTCAGTGTGCATTTCTTGAGCATAAGGCCATTATCTTACAGAATCGTAGTATAAATGTTAGAATCAGGAGGAAATTTAACGTTGATGTAATTTTGTTATTTAAAGTATATGTCAGTCACATTTTGCAAGTTCTTCTAGTATCTATGCATCTTTAGTCTCCTTTAATCTGGGACAATTTCTCTAATTTTCCTTATGACTTTTGATCACCTTGACATTTTTGAAGACCACCGGCCTGTTATTTTATAGAATGTGCTTCACTTTGGGTTTGTCTTCCATTTTCTGTGATGGGATTCAGGTTATGCATTTCTGGCAGGAATATCACAGAAATGACATGTCTTTCTCAGTGCTTCCTAACTGGAGGCACACACTGTTGATGGTATTAATGGGCAGTGGTCTGATTACTTGGATGAGGTGGTATTTGCCAGATTTCTAAACTCTTTAAAATTACCACTTCTCCTTTGGGATTAATAAGTCATTTGTGGGGAAGTACTTAAAGACAATGTGATATTGTCTGTTTCTTTAAATTTGTGTTTCAAAAGTTAGTGCACTTACCTTTTTTATTTTGTTAGAGTATAAGGTCCTTGGGAGCAGAGGTGTTGTTTTTATTTGCTCCTTTCTGTTTAAGTTCATGGCTGGCTGCATTATTGAATCCCAAGAAGATAGCCTGTCAGCAGGCATTTTTTGTCAGTCTGGGACTAAAATGATGGGAGATAGCTGGCAACCAGAACCTCCTTTAAATAATATTTAAATGCTGGGAGTGGGTGGGGGGAAGTGGCAAACATGATCAGGTGGTAATAAGGTCTATGATCAGAGGAGATAGCCAATTATCAGAGCTTGTAGGAGTCAAGAAAGGCTTGCTGGGGATGGAATGACTGTGCTAGGACCTAAAAGATTGGGGAGGGAGAGAGGGAGAAAAGAAACTACCAGAAATAGGGACTGTTTCTTCTTAGATGTGTGCAGAAGATTTTAGAACTGAAAAGAACCTGAGGTCATCTAGTTGAACCTTCCTTCATGATCAAGGTTATTGAGACTCAGCACTCAGCTGTGGAAGAAGCAAAGTAATTTGGCAGTAATTATCACTCTACCTTGTCAGAAGGAGGAAGGAAGCATGGGCATGCTCAGCTAGGTGTACATTTTCCACAACACTGGGGAGTTGGGAGTGATAGAGAAATGCAGTTGGATCCGTCACCCCTATATGTCTTTTATTCACAGAAGAAAAGACACCAGAAGCAGATGAGAATTAAACACAGATTCAGCTTTATTTCTTGAAGCACAAGATTCCCTAAGAGAGTTGAACTGGAAAATGTGGCTTGACATGAAGGCTAAAATAAGGTTTCTTAGTCATTCCTGCTCTCCCTTCCCTATCCCAGTCTAGAGCTTAACATCATCCTCTGGGGAGAGTTGTGTATGAGAAATAGACCCAGACCAGTGGCCCAGGAGCAGGGAAACTCTCTAGAGGGGTGGACAGGTGGGAGAAAGAACAGAAGTGAGTGGCCAGGCCATTCAGCAGCCTGGCCTTGGTCTCCCAGCATAACCAACTAGCTCAATAGTCCTCTGGAGGAGACAGTTTAGCCTCAACACACTGTATAGCTTCTCAGGAAAATTTAAACAAGTACTTGCTTCCTTGGTGGGACTTTAATGTCTTGTTAAATTCTGAAATTTAATTACCTCAGAATTAACAACCAGTGATATGTACCTGATCATCATCTTAAAGGTAATTCTAACCAGTGTCTGAATGATACTGAGCTTCTTTATTGTTGTCTGCTAGTCCAAGTAAAAGCTATTATTTATGTTTACACACTCATAAACACATAAGATAAACACATACATGAACTGGTATTCATACTTGAGGTGCTCTTAGAGTCTTTTAAAATGTTTTCTTTTTTACCATGTTAATTTTGTTATATGAATTTTTCTTTATTATGATCAACCTCTCATTTTGCAGCGGACTTTCTTAAATTTAAACTTTGATTGGAATTTTTCTTATTCCATTAAAGAATAATTTACTAGGTTGTTAAGACTATTTAGATTATTTTAAATATTGATAATGTATTGAATTCTTTGTTTGCCTTTAAGTGAATTGCGGAGAGAGGGGTTTTCTGCACTGTGAGTCTTTGTTTTTCTATGTACAGTTAATACCCATCTCATGTGGCTGTGCTCCATTACAGAACCATATGCTCCATTGTAGACTAGAGTGACCTTTTATTTCTAGGATCATAGGGCTTTTCTTGAACTTACTCTCCAGAGTCTCCAGTGGGCAGTAATCACTGATTATCTGGTTGCTTTCATTGGAGCAACTTCCCCCATAGTTGGCTTTTGATCTTCAGCTTGCAGAGAAGCAGTTCCTTTGTAGCTTTTGCATAATACAAGATTATAAATAGAGATTTGTTTGAAAGCAGTTGTTTTCCCCTAGAGGGTTTAACTATGCAGTAATAATTAAAGGGAAGTATAAAAGAGGCATAGAAGTACAAAATTATCAGTTGCTCTTTTGATTGTATATTTTGGTTAATTTTTTTTTTTTTTAATGATATTGTTAGGAAAACTCCCACCTCCTGGAGCATATTGAACTTGTACTAATTTTTATAAACCATTTTCCAACCATTTCCAACCAATTTTGTATAATCATTGGTCATTTCTTTTAAAAATGATTTGTTCAAGCATTAGAATCAGTTGAGAGGTAAGAACAAATGCATTTATTAAAGATGCAGTAATTGTTTTCCTTTTGTTTTACTAAAGGTTAAAACTGCTTATAAATGTGCATGTGTCTTACGAGATACCATAAATCCATACCTCCTGCGGAGAATGAAATCAGATGTCAAAATGAGCCTTTCTTTGCCGGATAAAAATGAACAGGTCTGTAAATTCAGGAGTTAGCAAAACATCCCTAAAGCATGGATGTGGTGGCAGGAGCTGTGGGGCAGGCTGATCTACATTTGCATATGCCAGTATGCGATGTGACACGAGACTCCTGTGGCATCTACATATACCAGTATGTGACAGGTGACTCTGCTGTAACACACCTGCCCTCAGCAGAACTCTTCCTCTAGTCCACAGACTTAGATCTCTCAGTAACACATAGATTCCCACAGCTACTCTCTTTAAACTTCTCTATTTCCTCAGGTCCCCAATTCATTCATGCTACAAATTGTCTTAGGTGCCAGTAACATGCCTGGGAAATAGAAGTGAACGAAACAAACACTTGTTCTTGGAGAACTCACATTCATTCTTGAGGCAAGACAGTCATAAATAAATATATCAGATAGCAAGTGGTAGTAAGTGTGAAGAGGGGGATGAGGGCAAGGACTTAGGGAAACATTTTTATAAGGGAGGGTCAGAGAAGACATTTCTGATAAACTGTCAGTTGAGCAGAGGCCTAAAATAAGTGAAAGAAGGAGTTATAGGGGATTGTGAAGGACGAGCATTCTAGGCAGATGGAAAGTCGGGGTGTGTTGGTAAATTCACAGAGGCCAGAGTGGTTGGAGGGCAGGAGCAAGCAGAGAGCTGAAAGGAAGCAGTCAGAGTTTTGACCAGATCACCAGGGCCGACTGGTCATGGTGAAGACTTTAGAGGAAATTCACAGAAAGTTGTTGAGCAAAGGAGTGATAACATCTGACTTAGGTTTTGAAAGGATCATCCTATTGAATTTCTTCCTAGTGTTCTGTTATCTTAATAGATGACTGTACTGTCTGTTCAGCATCTAAAAATAAATGCATTGTAGATTTTGAATGTTGAAACTCTAAAGGATTTGGGAGATCTGTCATCAAGGCTATTGACATTGCTCCCTCTTCCCTCCCTGCCAAAACTTATTTCCAGATTTACCCCTTGGTCTTCTACATTCCCCTCACACATTCTTCTCTGTCAGTTAACTCAGTACACAACCCTCTGAGCTGTAATTCTAGACCTACCAGTTGCTGTGGTGTTTTATTTATCCTTTGTCATTTTCTCACATCTCTCATTCACATCCTCATAAATTAGTACAGTTTAGTCTGACTAGTGCAATTAGTCTCACTGGTCTCCCAACCGTTGGCACTTCCCACTCCATTAGTATTGCACAGTTTTGCTGGATTTATTTTTCCAAGGCTTCCTACCAACGTACCTTTGATATCCCTCTCCCCACCAAGAATATTGATTTAGCTTGTGACAATTTATTTTTACTGTGGATTCCTAGGAATACCTCTTATATTCTGTGCAGTAGCCAAAGCAAATTGCTTCCTCTTTTTTTAAAATGCTCCACTTTTCTTTTTATTTGCATTTGTTCCCTCTACCTGAAAGTTTGCCCACCTCTCAAGCAAACACACACGTAGAGAAGTTCGTTTGAAGTTCCCACAAGGCTCTCCACTAGAGCCTCCAGTTGACTGGAACTCCTTGAGGTCAGGATTTTGTCTTACTCATCTACAGATTTTGCATGACACCAAAAACAATGATTTGCACACACTAGGGACCTGGTGAATAATTTGTCCAATTAACTGTGTGATTGAGAGGTGAGGCTTTTCAGCTGCCATTTTTAAAGTACTGAAATATGAATTTAAGAAGTCAAGAATTATAAGCACTCAGGTTCATATTCTAGAAAGATTACTCAGATACCATTTGAAAGCATTGACAAGGACAGAAAATGGAGGCAAAGGGATGGATTAGCCATTCCCTACAAAGTCCTTAGGAGAAGAGTGTGGGCCTGAACCGAGGCAAGGGTGGGGCTAGCAGGAAGGAAGCTAAAGGGCCTAGTGACTCCCAGGTTTCTCACTGGGATGCTGGGATAGATCTCCTGCAACAGAGGCTTCAGGAGGCCAAACTCAGAGAAGACAGCTAACGAGTTTAATTCAGGTTATCTTTGAAGTGTCTATGGAGTGTCCATTGTGAAAGGACAATAAAAAGGGTTAAAATGTGAAGAAAGTACTAGGCTGGGATGTAGGTGGCCTGTGAGCAGAGAATGTGTTAAAGTTAGAAATAGTGAGTTTGCCTAAGGAGTCCATATAGAATGAGGAGCGATAAGCAGCCCAGGGAAATGGCAGCATTTAGGAGAGGGTAGACAAGGAACAAGCTGGTAACACAGGAGGCCTATGTAGAAAAGCAAGAGGTGGGTAAGGGGAAGTGGAATCATGAGGCCCAGGGATCTGGTGTGTGGCAACTAGGAAGTTGTTTAGTGACCTCACCCGTAACAGTTTCAGTGGTACCAGCGGAAGTGCCCTCCAGGATTGTGCTGGTTCATGAGTAACAAAAAAGTGAGGAAATGGAGATAGTGATTGTATGTGATACTTAGAGGGAGTTTTCCCCTCAATTTTTGGAGAATCTAAGGAGTTGAACTCTGTTCTAAGGAAGATGAGAGGATTTTCAGATCTGGTGGAAAGGTTGAAGGGTTACTATAGATCGCATACAGGAACCAGTTCCTCTGGGAATAAAGGAAAATAAGCTGAGGCAGATGAAGAAGTAGACATTTTAGGGAGTGAAAACTAGAGAATCAATCCTGATAGCCTCAGTTTCTAATTTTTAAAACTGTTTAAAAATTAAAAAACTGTTTTGTTTTTTTACCGTTTTTAAGTAGAGGTTGAAACAGAGGTAGGTGGGTGGGTGAGCAGCTTGGGGAGGGAGAGGAGTGTTGTCACAGCCATTCTGTTGGGCAGAGAGTGCACAGGATTCCCCTGGAGAATGAGCTGAACCCCAGGACACTGCCTGGGGCCAGGGGGAGGGGTGTGGAGGGGGGAGTGACACACAGTAATAGTGCTCAGCGCTTAATGGAAAGGAGCAGAGAAGGAGGAGGTTGAGGTAATCTATGTTTGGAAGTTTATAGGACAGATGCAGTGGGTGGTGAAGGGTTGGCTGAAGAAAAATTCCTTGGGAATATGACTAGCCAAGGAATAAAGTCAAGCTGTGAGGTGGTGGTGGACTTGAAGAAAGAAAGGAAGGTTGAGAAGTTAGAACATGATGGCATAGAGTAATCACCTCAGTTGGGCAGGGGAAGTAGGCATTGCTGCCAGAGATGAGTCTGGTGAACTTATGGACCTGCACTTATAACTCCAGGAAAGGGGAGTGCAGTTGCAATTAAGGTCCCTGGTTAGGTTTACTGAAGTGGAGTGTGGGTGAGGGGCATGGGAGGTGAGCTGGCGCAAGCACTTGGTGGCTAGGATGGAGGAAGGTCTGTGCACCTAGTCCCATACTTTCCTCTGAGCAGTCAACAAGTCTTCAGGGACTGTCAGGACAGTGGGATGGGGACCAAGAGGTGGACAGATGACAGAAACGGGGCCTGGTGAAAGGAGGAAACTACTTTGTTCAGCTCTGAGATGTGGCTTCATTTTGTGTTTTTTTTTTTTTAAAAACAAGAGGTACATTATTACAGTTGTATGCATTGTGCTGTTTTGATTAGGAAATTTTGTTGGTATTTTAATTGTTAAAATGTGTTTTGAAATTATAGTTGCTGTGTTTTGTTTCCTCCCTTGTAGGTCTTATTTTGCCGTCTTACAGATGAGCAACATAAAGTCTACCAAAATTTCATTGATTCCAAAGAAGTTTACAGAATTCTCAATGGAGAGACGCAGGTCAGTTAAAAACAGAAGCCAGTAAAATTAAGGGGAACAGGGAAAGAAAGGAAGCTAGTATTAGTCAGGGAGGATTCACTATTACTCTTGAAAACATTTTGGTGCAAGCTGTCACTTAATTTGGAACCCTTACAGAAGTAAGAGACCACACAGTTAAATTCAGCATGCTCCCTTTTTATCTGTACTGAAGCACTGTTGCACTCGAATCCAACACCACATGGCTTCGTAATAGAAGAATTGCACTAGACAACAGGATCTGCAATGCCTAAGTCCTTCAGGGACTGCGGATCCTGTGCATAATGTAGGGAAGCAGCCTCAGAACTCTGGGGTTAGCAGGTGCAAGGAGGAAGAATTATTATTACAGATTTTTCTAGAATAACATTTTAGTTATTGGCAATACTCAGAAATCTGTGGGTAAATGTCTGCTCAATAAATATATATAGTAGGTCTATAATCAGCATTGAAGTCTAAAGCTTCGTGTAAACTATTCAACTTGTTTCTGTTTCAGTATCTTAGTATGTGAATTGTGTTTTACTTAGTTGACATGTGTGACTTCCTTAGTCCTTGATGTGTGCTCATTGGAGGCACAGCTGAGTAGAATGGTATGCTCCAGCACTCACACTTTCCTGTTTATGCATGGAGGTAGATAAAGAGATGGATACAGGTAACATGGCTACCTGTGTACCCTAATATCTACATGCTTTTCCCTCCAGGTTAAGTCAACCATCTCTCATAATTTCTTATTTTGTGTTTTATTGGAGGTTTTTAAATTATTCATATTTATTCAACTCTCCTATATCTCCCCTGATCTTCACATGCCTCCAAGTTGTACAGCCTTAGGTGGTCTAGGTCAGCACTATCCAGTAGATAACAGGATGTAAGCCACATGTGTGATTTTAAGTTTTCTAATAACCACATTTAAGAAGATAAAAATGTTGAAATTAATCTTTATAATACATTTTCTTTACCTTATATACCCAAAATACTTTAATATGTAATCAGAATTTTAAAATAATTATTGAGATATTTTACTCTTTTGTTGTAAGTCTTCAAAATTGGGTATAATTGACCCTTAAACAACTCAGGTGTTGGGGCACTGGCACCCCCACCCCCACTTTGCACTGTCAAAAATTTGCTTTTAATTTTTGACTCCTTAAAAACTTAACTATAGTCATTTCTCGGTATCATAGGCAGATTTGGTCTAGGATCCCCTATAGATACCAAAATCCAAAGTTGCTCAAGTCCCTTGTATAAAATAGCATGGAACAATGCATACATTTTGCACTCTGTGTGCACAGATACCCAGCCTCAGGTCAAAAATACTGTTTTCAGTCAGCAGTTGGTTGAATGCATGGATGCTAAACCCATGGATATGGAGGGCTGACTGTATTTATTGAAAAAAAAATCTCACAGAAGAAGGCCTGCTTTGTTAGTTCAAACCTATGGTCAACTGTATTTTACATTTGTGGCATATCTGAGTTTGGACTAGCCACACTTCATGCACTTAGTAGCCACTTCCGGCTTTTGACTACTGTGTTGGACAGCACAGGTTTAGGGGAAGAAATATGAGGTACAGATAACTCTTTGGGTGAATTTTGGCAGTGTTCCTGATTTATTCAGATCTTTTGTACTGTAGTTGTTTAATTGTTGTTTACTGGTCAGAACTATCATACTCTTTGATTACATGCTTAATTTTTGATTCATCTTTTTCTACTTGAGCTTTTATACTGGTGAGCATGATTTGAGTCACACTCTAGAAGCTGTGCAAGATGTACCCCTGCTAGACATGGAAGACAGGCACTCACCCTTGGTCTGTCCTGCTGGGTGGACTGTCCATTTCTTTCCCATTTGTGTATTTTCCATGCAAATATATTTTCTGATGTAATACTAATGTAAAGGTAAGTTGGACTTCAACCCGTGACTCATTAAATTGTAGAGCTTTTAGTGAGGTACTTAGTAGTGTAATATTTAAATGCATTTGCTAAGTTATATGACTGATTTCTTCAAAACTTAGATGGGCATGACATTTTTTATTTCTATTTAAGTATTTATAGGAAGTATTCCTATCTCAATATATTTAAAAGATAAGTCAGCTTTATATAACAAGTTTTCTAATGCTTGTTATATAAATCATACCTTTTTTTTTTCTAGTGAGGGAAAATAAATCATCAGTAATTGAGTATGACCCCCGTAGACATGTTTGGCCTAATAGAATTATTTTGTTTCTAGAGAACTTGTGCTATCAGGAAAAGAAGATGAGTGAAGGTTGATTTCCTCTAGCTCCTAATACTCTGTGTTTAGGGAGGAAGCTAAGAAGCTAATGAAGAATTCCTTCTTAATCTGTGTTACATATCACCGATCCCTCCTTTCCTGAGTGAACATGAATTTACACAAAATAATCTTGGTTGCACATAATTCTTTTATACCGTAGATTTTCTCTGGACTTATAGCCCTTAGAAAAATCTGCAACCACCCTGATCTCTTTTCTGGAGGCCCGAAGAATCTTAAAGGTATTTCAGATGATGAACTAGAGGAAGATCAGTTTGGATACTGGAAACGTTCTGGAAAAATGATAGTTGTTGAGTCCTTGTTGAAGATATGGCACAAGCAGGGTCAACGAGTATTGCTATTTTCTCAGTCAAGACAGGTGAGCATGCAAATCTTGTACAAGAAACAAGTTGATTTTTCATGGGGTATAACCGTTAATTCAAAATATAGGAAATAATCTAAAATAATGATTTCAAAAGCAAATCTACATGTTGATACTGGGGTGACAGCCTGCAAAATCTTTGGGAGCTTAGATCTTTCTCTCGATTTGGTGCCCAGAAGTTGGCTTTTTAAAAACATGTAGTTACCCTGTGATTCTGGGGTGTGGGCGAGTTTGGGCTTGAACTCAAATAAATGCCCAGCTATTTACAAAACTTGTAAGAATTAGCAGCAGGGAAATACCAAAAATACTCTTGTAGCAATTATATTTATCTCTCTCAAAGCAAGAAACCTTCAAGCTGTTGGGAAGGTGTGACTGTTTACACAAATGTAGAAGCACTCACGTTGGGTGTATATTTGATTTTTAAACTCTCATTTCCCATCCTCTCTCCCAAACAGATGTTGGACTTACTTGAAGTATTCCTTAGAGCCCAGAAGTATTCCTATCTCAAAATGGATGGTACTACTACAATAGCTTCAAGACAGCCCCTGATTACAAGATTCAATGAGGTAACAAGTGAATACAACAGTAAAATCCAGTAGTGCTACTCTAGGCAGAGGGACAGGAAGTGTTTCCATATCTACCTGAGCAGTGCTTATATCTTGACTGGGCAGCAGGTGGAGATGGACTTTTCGCTTTTAACTTTACGCATTTTTGGATTATTGCGGGGGGGGGGGGGGGGTGGGGTGGGTGTGTGTGTGTGTGTGTGTGTGTGTGTGTGTTTTTGAAAACCCAACTTTTACATACTACTAATACTGAGATTAAAAGTAAGAGTTGTGAGATGGCTTCTTGGGGGTGGGGTGTGTGTGTGTGTGTGTGTGTGTGTGTTTTTGAAAACCCAACTTTTACATACTACTAATACTGAGATTAAAAGTAAGAGTTGTGAGATGGCTTCTTGGGGGTGGGGTGTGTGTGTGTGTGTGTGTGTGTGTGTGTTTTTGAAAACCCAACTTTTACATACTACTAATACTGAGATTAAAAGTAAGAGTTGTGAGATGGCTTCTTGACTGACCAGAGGTCTTTAGAACATAGCGCATTCCTTATATCAGGAATGTTTTCCATATGTAGAGTATGGAAAGGCAGAGGTGAAGAGTTCTAACTAGTTAAAGATGCATACTAAGTGTTGTATGTCTTATTTCTAGGACCCATCCATATTTGTGTTTCTTCTGACCACCCGGGTGGGTGGCCTAGGAGTAAACCTGACGGGGGCAAATAGAGTCATCATCTATGACCCCGACTGGAACCCAAGCACAGACACACAGGTCTGTTTATTTTTTAAAAGGAGTGTATTAGTGACATACAGTTGATCCTTGAACAACATGGGTTTGCACTGTATGAGTCCACTTATATGTGGATTTTTTTTTCAATAAATACAGTAAATATATTTTGTCTTTATAATTTCTTAGTAACATTTTCTGTAGCTTACTTTATTGTAAGAATACAGTAGATAATACAGATACAAAATATATGTTTCTCAACTGTTCATGTTATGGATAAGCTTCCTGTCAACAGTAGGCTCTTCGTAGTTAAGTTTTTGGGAAGTAGAAGTTACATACAGGTTTTTGACTGTGCAAGGGTCAGTGTGTTGTTTGAGGGTCAACTTCAGTTTAATGGCCAGCACTTGGGAGGATCCTTTGTGCTCCTCTCAGCTTAAGCTTCACATCTGGGTTGTTGCCTAGTCTTCAGCACAAGGAAGACGCCCTCCAGTATTACAGACAGGATGAGTTCCAGCGGTTTGTTCACAGCATCTATCACTAGATCTGAGGAAAAAAGAGTATGTGACATTACACTCATTCTTTTTTAATAGAGATGTTTGTCTCTCTTTTTCACATGCCTGTTTATCCTCCTCAATAGGCCTTAGATGTATTTAGCCTCATTAGATGAAGTTCTGACTTTGGGAGTAGAAGGAAGCAACTAGCTATTTCTCTTTTTAGTCAGTGCTTGCATTGGGAAGGGTCCTTATTAAGATGTATCTCTCTGTTGCAGGCCCGAGAGCGAGCGTGGAGGATAGGCCAGAAGAAGCAGGTGACGGTGTATAGGCTTCTGACTGCAGGCACCATTGAAGAAAAGATTTATCACCGGTCAGTCTGTTCAACCCTTGATTGACATCTTCTCCCCTGGCTGCAGTGTGTGCAGGGTAAACAAGTATACCACCAGGGCTGCAAGCTGGGATTTTTTTTTTAAGCATTGTTTTTAAGATGTTACTACCATCTTGGAATAGTAGTTGCTGTAACTTGAGGGATAATGTGATTTTTTAAAATTCTTGTTTTGTTCTTTTTTTTTTTCTTACTAAATTAAATGGCTTATTGTGAGTTTCTTAAAAATGTCTATGAACATGGTCATTTTTCTACCTTATTAAACTTCAAGGACTGCTTATGTTTAAACTTTATATTGTTTATTTGAGAGAAATGTTGTTCCTACCTAGTATAGTGTGCCATCTTTGTTCAGAAAAATTTTAAGAAGTAACAAAATTGCAATGCTAACATACTGGTATTTACACATAGCAGATAGGTGTGGTTGTTCTGTTAGCCTTGGCTCAGAGGCCCAAAGAGAAAAGTTGACCAGGACACCTGCTTCTTCCTCCATCTTTCTCTCTGTAAAGAGCAGGGATTTAAGCAAGGATAACTTCAACAGTAGAATGGAAATATTGCCAATTTCTCCACTTTCTCTGCTGAATACCTTATTTAGCTACACCCCAGCTTATAGAGGAAGGCACCTTCTTTCTACCCTGTGCTGGTCTACTCATGGGGTGGCTCATGTTCTTCAGGGCCTGGTGTGAAAGTGCTCAAGGCAAGCTGAGTCCCAATGGGGAGAGCTTCCTCTGAGAGAGACATGCCTTAGGCTGAATAATAAGCAACCAGAAGGGGGAGGGGACAGGGCTACCTCATGGAGCTGTCTGGGCAATAGTGACAATGGTATGGTGCTTTATCATACAGTGGGATCAGCAGGTGGCAGCTGATGAGATAGCTCCAAGTGAAAACTTTGCAAAGCCCAGGTAAGCATTTCCTGAGGCCCATCACAGGAAGGTTGCCTAGGGCTGGGCAGGGGACTCTTGATCTAGGGGTCAGGAAGCTACTCTTCGCAGCTTAGAGAGGCTGTGAGTCATTTGAGAGTGTGAGTGTATGTGAAAAGGTATTTCTTGAAATGTGATGAATCTTGGACATTGGAAAAACCCATTGGGTATGAATAATAATAAGGTATCATTTCTTACTTAGATTCTGTGAAACACAGGAGACTGCCTGATGTTTTATGTACTTCCTGAATTATAATTTTCCAAGGCTAAAAGTTCTAGGGATTATTTAGACATCTGCACAGCTGCAGCTATCATGTCTCTCTTACATTGTTTTATAATTAGAATTTTGAAAGAGAGCTAAACACTGTTTCATATCAGTTTAATTTTTATTTTTTAGACAAATCTTCAAGCAGTTCTTGACAAATAGAGTACTGAAAGATCCAAAGCAACGGCGATTTTTCAAGTCCAACGATCTTTATGAGCTGTTTAGTCTGACTAGTCCTGATGCATCCCAGAGCACTGAAACAAGTGCTATTTTTGCAGGTATTACATAAAGTTATTTAACTTAAAGGAATAAATTACATAAGAACTATGTAATGTAACATTAGTGTGTTTTTTCCTTTTATAGGAACTGGTTCAGATGTTCAGACACACAAACACCATTTAAAAAGAAAACTTCAACTGGCCTTTGGAACAGACCATAATTTTCCAATGTGCAAAACGATCCCTGATTCTAATGCATTTGCAAATGATGGCACATCATCTGAGGAGAAATCTACAGCTATTGGAGCTAATGGAAATGCAGTAACTTCTAATCAAAATGATCCTTTGAGAGATGCCCCTCAAACACCTAGGAATCTAACCAGCAGTGACAGACTTGGAGAAGAGGCAGATGCAGGGTCTCGACTGGAGGACTCATCAGTGTTAACTGGAAATGGGGAGTGTTCAAGTTCTCCAAGAATCAGTAAAATGGACAAGATGTCTGGTGAGGAAAGCATCAATGAAAAGCAACATCTTTCTGAAAAAAGAGAACGCTGCCAGGTTCAAACAGAACCTCTTTGGGAGAATGAACAAATGGAAAATAATTTTTATAAGCACAAGTCAAAAACAAAACATAGTGTGGCAGAAGAAAAGACCCAGAAGAAACTTCTGAGAACAATACAAAAGCCTAAGAGCTCTAGGTGTTGCAAAGACGCCAAGTTTGAAGGAACTCGAATTCCACACCTAGTGAAGAAAAGGCAGTACCAGAAGCAAGACAATGAGAGTGAAAGTGAGAACAAGAATCAGAGCAATGATGATTATGTTTTAGAAAAACTTTTCAAAAAATCAGGTAATTCTTTTGCTGAATTTGCCACCGGTATGCTAGGAACAGAACATGAATGGGTCATTTCTAGCAATAGCAGCCTTTACTGACAGTGCAAGGTGGTCTCTCCACTGGAAGTATTTTTTCTTCTAAAATCAGGATTTGAAATTTATTAACATTTAGAAAAATCATATTCTCCTCTTTTTTATTTTAAAGACCTAGAGAAGGATTTGAAACTTTAGAGAACAATAGAACTTACAACTACTTACAGGAGGGGTGCAATGCTTTAAATGGATTTTTACTATCTAAACATTTAGAAAATTTCTCTATGTCTATATCTATTTGATTTTCCAACCACAGGAAATTAAAATAACATCATGGGACAAGAGACAGGGATATGGCCAGAGGCAGGCACTCTGGAAGCAGGAAAGCTGATATGAAGGGAGAAAAATCAGGAAAGCAGACTTAACAATTGCTCGGGACCCTGGAGGACAGGCAGTCCTGCAGTTAGTCACCCCTGGGTGCGTCATCTCACTCAGCCCCGGACAGTCATTGTGTTCACTGTGGTGTGAACTTAGACTTTCCGAAGATTGCTGTTTATGATTCTGTGTTCAGGAAGGCAGGCTTATGTATGGCATTTCAGAAAGAAACCATCTGGACCTGATGCTCTTTTGTAACTTGTCAACTCCCTGTTTTTTTTCCTACAGTTACTGGTCTGTTTTCTTAGGAAATTATCTATTTTGTCTAGTTTTCAAGTTCATTTGCACAGAGACATAGAAAATACTCATAATATTTTTTTTTAAATTTGCTTGTTTCAATTTTTTCCTCGATCAAATTAAGCTAGTGGTTTGTCTGTTTTTTTCTTTTTCAGTAAACCAGGATTTTGATTTATTAATTGGATCCACGGTTGTTCTCTACCTTATTAATTTTCACTTTTATCTTCATTAGTTTCTTCCTTGTGCTTTTATTTTTGTTGTATTTTGGTGAATTTTTGGCTTAATTTTGATAAAACTGTTTGCCTTGAAAAGTTTGTTCTTTTATTCTTTCATTTTTATTGATGTAAGTATTTAAGGCTGTGAATTTTCCACTGATAACTACATTAAACTCTTCTGATATGTAGTGTTTCCATGGTCATTACATTTTAGGAATTCTATAATTCTGGTTTCTTTTTTTCTGTTCAATAAAGAATTTATTAATAGAAGGTTTCCAGTTTTTCACATAGGTGAGAAGAGGTTATGTTGAAGTTGTGATCAAAGCATTATGCTTTGATTATTGTAAATCAAGGATACTAATAGTCTGTACCTCATAAGGTAGTGATGAAAATAAATTGCAATAGCATTTGTAAAGTTCCTGGGTCTTGGTAAAAAGCAGCTAAAAGTATTCATTATTTTTCGCCACCCACAACATGCTAAATTATACAGAGAAGAAAACTGATTGTTTTCATCCTGAAATAACACATTCCCTGTTTTCCTTTGTTCTTGCCTAGTTGGTGTGCACAGTGTCATGAAACATGACGCCATCATGGATGGAGGCAGTCCAGATTATATGTTGGTGGAGGCAGAGGCCACCCGTGTGGCCCAGGATGCTCTGAAAGCACTGAGACTCTCTCGTCAGCAGTGTTTGGGAGCAGTCTCTGGTGTGCCCACCTGGACTGGCCACAGGGGGTTTTCTGGCGCTCCTGCGGGAATAAAGTAAGAGCTTATTGTCCTACTGTGCTTGTGAGAGGGCCAGTCCATCCAGGTTAGGAATAAAGTCAGAGCTAGCGTGGATACTTGTCCTGTTTATGTGCAGTAGTGGAAAATCTGTCTGGGGATTAGATCAGCCAATTTGTATGACTTGGGGAAACACATTTGTAGTCTTACCATCTTCCTTGCTTGCATCCCCTGCTTTCCAAAGCCAGTTTTTTAGGGGAAGGAGAAATGATCTGTTTTGTTTGAAATGATATTAAAAATATTAAGAGATTCATAATCATGATAAACCTTAATGAGATGATTAGCCAGTTTTTAGTAATTGCTATCCTATTCAGTCTAATCTTTTGGAAGGATTTTCCTACCTAGGATTGAGGATAGTTTCCATAATATGTTGAACAAGTGTCTTGCGTGGTTCTTACTCCAGATGGAGGAGTTACTTCCCAGGAGAATAAAGTAGAGGAATCAGAGTGTTATAGCTATGAAAGAAGAATCATGCAAAAGAAAATTTTTCCAGGAAGAGTTTAGTTGTTGAAAGGACATTTCATCTCTTAAGCCACAAAAATAAACATTTTATTTACTATGATTCTTTTCCATTTAGGAGTAGATTTGGTCAGAAAAGGAATTCCAGCTTCTCTGTGCAACATCTTCCTTCAGTCTCTCCAAAGGAGAAGTGCCAGGTAATATGATAGCCTGTCTGCTTTTTACATGAGACTTACTTGATTGAATTGCCATGAAAATTTAACCCGATTATGATGTGAAAAAATTGCTGGCATAGTGACATCTGATATTTGTGCTATAAGCTCTGATTTATGAAGCACTTTTAATCGAATCTAAAAGGGCCAACTAACTTCCTAAAAGAAAACGTCTTTAACCCAAAATCTGTAGCAGAGTCTCTGTTTTGCCCTAAGAAAGTTAATATGGTGGGGGGGTGGGGGTGAGAGAAAGTTGTAATACAGAGATAGGTGACATGTGAGTCACCGCCCATACAGCCTGACCTATTGTGAGGGTCAGTACTAGTTCCAAAGACCAATCTAGAATAGATGTCTAGAAGACTGCCTTAAAGTTTGTGATTAACTAGCTGCCAAAGCATGTGCTGCCCATCTCTCCCTAGGGCCCTGAGTGCTTCACTGAGAGTAACTACTAGGACAGAGTCAATACTCTCTGTGGTTTTTGCTGATTAAGGGTTATGTTACTGATAAAATTTGAAAACTCCCAGGTTCAGCCATTTTAGATTAATATGAACACAGTTAGGAATAGAGAACCTTTGTTGTTTTAAGGAAACACATATGAGGTATAAAGTAGTAAAGAATAAAATGATTTAAAATTGAAGAGAAAGAAGTGCACCGATGATATTGTTCTTTACTCCACAGTGCCAACCTAAATCAGGGTAAATTTGGGAGGAAAAACAGGAAAAGCCCACAGAATTCGTACTTCCTCAAGGCAATTTCCTAGAAAGCCTGTTATCTAGCCACTCAGTTCTCCCCCCCCGCCCATCATTTAGAATGGCGGCCAACTGAATAGTGTAGTTTTGGAGGGATTTTTTTGTTTTTTGAGGAAATGTTCTTTAGTAGTGGGTGGATATAGGTGCTTGACTCTGTTTTCCTGCCGTGGTAGTTGGTGTTTCAGTTTTAACCTATAACTTTCCCACCCTGGCCTGGGTACATGTGTTATTTAAGGCCCCTCAGAACCTTTGGGGAAATAAATGAGGCCATAAATTAGAAGTTAAATGTTTCAATGTAGTGGTCCTCTTTCTTCAGGACAACATCATGAAGAAGGATGGAAAAGATAATGTTTCTGAGCATGTTAGTGGAAGAGTGGAAGATGCGGAGTCCTCATCTGGGGTCCTCACTTCGTCCTCACTGCTGGCTAAAATGAGAGCTAGAAACCACCTGATTTTGCCAGAGAGGCTAGAAAGTGAAAACATGCACCTTCAAGAGGCTTCTGCTCCACCGCCCTCCACCACAGAACATGATGACCTGCTGGTGGAAATGAGGAACTTCATTGCTTTTCAGGCCCGTGTGGATGGCCAGGCCAGCACTCAGGAGATACTGCAGGAGTTCGAATCCAAGTTATCAGTTTCACAGTCTTGTGTCTTTCGAGAACTATTGAGAAACCTCTGCACTTTTCATAGAACTTCTGGTGGTGAAGGAATTTGGAAACTCAAGCCAGAATACTGCTGATTAACATTAATCTTTTAATTGATTTTTTTTCTCATGGAAATTTCCAATTATAATTAGTAATCATGTTTGTCAACAGAGGTTGGCTGCATTTGATGTTTACTTTGAATGATAGCTAGTTTATAATTAAAACTTTAAGGGAGGAGAAATTCTTTGAAACTTAAAAGTTTTTACTTGGGTTAATTTTTTTGGTACTGTATATTATGTTATAAAATCAGGGTCCTGTCTAGCTGAGTGGCTAAGTTGGTTAGAGCATTGTACTATACCCCAGAAGGTTGTTGGTTTGATTCCCAGTCAGGACACATACCTAGGTTGTGGGTTTAATCCCCTGTCAGGGCGCGTAGGGTAGGCAACTGATTGATGTCATCTTTGAACCATTTTAATTGCCTTTAAACAGTCTTTCTTTTAAGGTGCTATTAAGTTGGCAGGTATTTTTGTTAGTAAAGCATGAAATAGCTTGGTAAATAAGACATGTTTGTAGAAAGTTGTAGTGTACTCAGTTTTATACTGATTGTACTTTAGGAAAATGAAATTTGTTATCTTGAAAAACAAAAACAAAAAACAAGCAGAACCAAAAGTAAGGACAGATAAAACAGCCAACACACACATGCACACAAACATCACTCCAGACCACAACCAGATCCACCATCATTACTGTGTAGTAACCATCATCCCAGCCCTCTCTGCTTCCATGATGGAAGGTAACTGAATGTTTTTATTGTATTCATTGTTTGCTTTCCTAATGGTGTCGACTGCTTTATATCAGGCAGCACTGTTCTCCTTATGTATCATCTTGTTTCCATCTCTTTTTCCTTTGCATTCATGATAACTCTCTTGTTTTAAGAGATTTGCTTTTTCTTTGCATGTTTTCAGCTATTACGTGTTTGTAGTTCTCCGATGGTGTTGTTTTGGTCCTCTTTGCTTTCTTAACCTTATTTGTCATGTTTCCTTCTTATTGTTATATTAAGATCTCAGCTCTGAAGTCTTGTTTTCTTAAATTCATTGTATTCTTTTTTTTCTAGAGCTGTTACTGTGCAACTGTTGTTTTTTTTTTTAATTGGATATGTTTTCTCTGGCTTGCTATTTACCTCTCTCTGATTTTTCTGTGTTATGCCTCACCTTCCTCCCATTCCATTTTTTCACTTCATACTCCTTCCGAGGGTGAGCAGCCCTGTCCAGACCTCTATGGTCCACCCTGCCACCCAGAGAGGAGGGTTTTGGACTTGGATCTTGGGGAGGTGTCTGCTGGGCAGCATGAAGCTCTCGTTGGAGGACTTGGGTTTTACCGTATCTTGTGTATAATGCGTAGTTTTTGCCCAAATTTTTGAGGGAAAAATAAGGATGCACATTATACAGGGGTTAGTACCTGAAATGCTTGTGTCTGTTTTTGTGTTTTTTAATTATTTGTTACATAAAATTTCTCATACCATAGTATGTTCAAAAATAAATGCTAAAATTCCTTCATAATACAAAAACAAGTATATAAATATAAATAAATAAATAATTGAATTAAAAAATTAAAATGAAAGATTTTTTTCCTGAAAGTTTGGGCCAGAAGTGTGGGTGTCCATTATACATGGCAAAATATGGTACTTTTCCATTCTGAGATTTTGTTAAATGGCTTAGGTCAAGAATCCCTCTCCTTTGGTAGGAGATGTCATAAAGTCAGGGTTGACACAAGAATTTTCTGCTGATTTTTTTTAAACGTTATTCTGACTTGTTCATTTTTTTTCCTTTTTTCATTATGATTCATTATGTATTAGAGGAAGAAGATTCTATTATTATGCTCCTGGACATCATTATCTAGAAGTCAGAGGGATTTTTAAACAGGTCAATAAATGCTAAACTTGAGAACTTGGCTCATAAGGTAGTCAAACTCATGACTATTTTGTTTCTGAGAAGTGCTTTTTTATTTTTATTTTTGTAATCATTAGCTTATAAGAGAATTGTGTCCTCCTCGTTCTGAGATTGAAGTCCTAATGCAATTAATGAGTGTGAAGAGTCTGGGCATCATAATATGTGAAATGTAGACTGTACTGAGGTAGAGAAGTTGTAGCCTTTTCAACAAGTAGAAAATGCTATAAACAGTTATGATGCAATGAAAGGAAGGTGATCTTCAGTACAGTTCTTGTCTCAGCCACTGGCATTTTGTGACCTTGGCTAGCTCACAGCCCTGCTGTATCTCAGTGTGACTATCTATAAACATTGTCATTATGTTTCCCAGAATGAGAGACTTAGAGGGAGAAGCTCTAAGTATAATGGTTTTAACAATATAGAGTGACTTGCTCAATTAGGTAAAAATCTTATTTTGGGAACTTTAAGAGCTCTGTACAATATACATTAGAAACCGTTCAGTGCAAAAGAAAATAGTAAAGGAGGACATGAGGAACAAAAAAGACAAAACATACAGAGAACAAAAAATAAAGGAGCAGATATAAACCCAACTATATTAGTAATAAATGTGAATGAATTAATCCAATCAAAAGAGAGATTGTCAGATTGGATTTTTCTTTTTAAGTCTAACTTGTCTGCAAGAGGATACACTTTAAATTCAAAGACACAAAAAGAATGGGAAAAGGTATATCATGTAAACAGCAACCACAGGAAAGCTGAATTGCTATACTAATATCAGACAAAATAGACTTCAAATTTAAAAAATTGTTAAGTAGTGATAAAGAGGAACATTTTATAATGGTAAAAGGATCAATCCATCAAGAATATATAACAATTTCAAACATATGCACCTAATAACAACAATAACATGAAGCAAAAACTGGCAGAAATAAAGAGAGAGAGAAACAACGATAGTTGTAGACTTGAATACCCCATTTTCAATAATGGATAGAGCCACCAAAGTAAAAGATCAACAATGAAACAGGATTTGACCAACATTGTAAGCCAACTAAACCTAACATTCTGTAGAACATCCCAGCCAACAATTATAGAATATACATTCTGCTCAAGTGCACATGGGATAACTTTCAGTATGGACCATGTGCTAGACCATAAAAAAAAAAAATTCAGTAAATGTAAAAGGATAGAAGCATGACCTAAAACAATAGAACTCTTAGAAGAAAACAGGACAAAAGTTTTGACATTAGATTTGATCATGATTTCTTGGATATGACACCAAACACACCAAAGAAAAAATAGATTGTACCACGAAAATTTAAAAAGTGCTTCAAAGATGCTACCAAGAGTAAAAAGGCAACCCACAGAATGGGATAAAATACTTGTAAGTTATATATCCTTGAAGGGATTCATCAGAATATATAAAGAATTTCTTAAACTTTAAAAAAAAATTTAAAAAATGGGTAAAGAACTTAAATGGACATTTCTCCAAAGAAGATATATAAATAGCCAATAAACACATGAAAAATATACTTAATATCACTAGGGAAATACAAATCAAAATTACAATGAGGTATCACCTCACACCCCATTAGGATAGCTACTAACATAAAAGAAAACAAGAATTGGCAAGGATGTGGGAAAGTTGACAACCTTGTGCGCTGTTGAGGGTAATGTAAAATGGTACCACCACTGTGAAAAACAGTATGGCAATTCCTTAAAAAAAAAATTTGAAAGTAAAATTACTGTATCATTCAGCAATTCCACTTTCTGGTATTTTTCAAAAGTATTTGTACATCCATATTCATAGAAGCACTATAGCCCAAAGGTGGAGCAACTGAAGTATCCTTCACAGATGAATGGATTAAAAAATTCTAGTATATCCAAACGATTGAAAATTAATCAGCCGTAAAAAGGTGTGAGGTACTGATAGGCATTACAAAATCACGAAACCTCAAAAATAATTTAAGTGACAGAAATCAAACACAATAGACTACATATTTTATGATTCCATTTGTATGAAATAATCAGGAATAAACAAACCCATAGAGACAGAAAGTGGATTGTAGGTCACTAGAGACTGGGAGTTGGGGAGTGAATGCAGAGTGTTTAATTCGTTCACTGTTCTCTTTTGGGGTGATTAAAATACTTTGAATCTAAAAAGAGTTGGTGGTTGCACAAGATTGTGAATGTGCTAAAGGCCGCTGAATTGTACACTGAAAACCATTTCTAGGTGTTCAATAATGTATTTAGTCAATTTAGGTAACATTTTTCTATAAAATTGTCTAAATTTTTGAAGTTCTTTTGTGGATATCATCTGTTACTAACTGTTCTGTATTTTGCTCTGATTTGTGTAAATTTATTTTTATCCTGTATGGAACTTTGGCTTTCTGAATTTTAGGATTCATGCTTTCCAACAATTCTGGAAAATTGTAGGAAATATTTCTTTGAATATCACCTCTTGCTAGTTTCCTCTATTCCCATCCTTCTGGAACTCATTCTTTCTAATCTGTTTAAGCTCTCCATCAAAATTTATTAAAAATTATTTTAAAAGTTACACCTTCATAGCTATAATATTTCTAAAACTGCTTCTTCCCCCTACCATAACCTTCCTGGTTTTATTTCACAATACTTTTCTTTTTTCTTACTGAATATTTTTATGGCTAAAATTTTAAAGATAATACTTTTAGAGTCTCCAATTATTGTGTTAGGTGAAGTTCTTGGTATTCATCCTGTTCTTTGTTGTGTCTATTGGCTTTCTTTCATAGTGGGTTGTGTGGTTTTCTTTTTAATTGCACAGGCATCCATGCACTATGAAATATTCTTTATAATCATCTCTTTTTCACAAAAGTTTTTATTTTTCAATTACAGTTGACATACAATATTATATTTTCAGGTGTACAACATAGTGATTAGACATTCATACAACTGCTGAAGTGATCCTCCCCCACCTAACACCATACGTAATTATTACAATATTATTGACTATATTCCCTATGCTGTAGCTTACATGCCCAAGGCTATTTTGTAAGTACCATTAGGCATTTCTTAATTCCTTCACTTTTTCACCCAAACCCCAACCCCACTCCCATGCAGTAACTGTCAAAATGTTATCTGTGAGTCTTCCAGTCAAGGTGGAGGCCTAGACAGACGTGCTTCGTTCAGCACATTGCACAGCGATAAGAAGGAACACAACCAATTCAAAAATTAAAAACACTCAGAACTGCCGGAAAATTATCCAGGAAAACACCCAGAACTGTGCAGAAGTCGACAAGAAGGATTTGAAGAAGCTATATGCATCCAAACGGGGAGGAGGGGTGGAAACCAGGAATCGGTGCAGAGAGAATGCAGTGTGGTGGCAATGAGCCAGAGGAGGAGAGGCGGAGAGGCAGTGAGGCAGCAGCATCCAGAGGAAGGGGCAGCCCCATGTTCACTTGTGGTGGATAAAAATCAGGGGGACCCCTTTGTGAGCGAGTAAGCGCAGCCTCGGGCCAGATCACACAGCCCAGGGCTCCAGTGCTGGGAAAAGAAAGCCTCATAACCTCCAACTAAACCCAGTGGGGTTTGGGGCAGCAGAAAAAGCTGCTGGTTTCTCAGGGGAGTGCAGAACATACGCAAACCCACCCACCCTGGGAACCAAAACAAGGACAGCAGCCAGAGGTGCGCCAGTCACATAGGGGAAGTGGGTGAAGTGACTGGAAGTGGGGCGAGTACCGGGCAAGACCCAGGAGTCAGCCAGCAGCAGCATTGTCCCCTCTTTGACCCCTCCCGCACACAGGGATCCACGGTCCCGAATACCAAAGGCTCCGCCCCATACAACTTAACAGCTGCACTAAGATGAAGTCGAGGCAGCTCTACCTAGTACACAGGCACAGGGAGGCTGCCAAAATCAGGAGACAAAGAAATATGGCCCAAATGAAGGAACAGAACAGAACCCCAGAAAAAGAATTAAGCGATGAGGAGATAGCCAACCTATCAGACTCAAAGTTCAAAACACTGGTGGTCGGAATGCTCAAAGATCTCATTGAATATGGCAAAAGCATAAGGGAAGAAGTGAAAGCTATACTAAGGGAAATAAATAAAAATCCACAGGAAACCAACAGCGAAGGGAAGGAAGCCAGGATTCAAATCAACGATTTGGAACATAAGGACAAAGTGAACATTCAACCAGAACAAAATGCAGAAAAAAGAATTATAAATACGAGGAGAGTTTGAGACGACTCTGGGACATCTCCAAAAGGGCCAACATCCTAATCATAGGGAAGCCAGAAGAAGAGGAGGAAGAGCAAGAAGTTGAAAACCTATTTCAAAAAATGGGGAAAGAAAACTTCCCTATCTTGGCAAAGGAAATAGTCATACAAGTCCAGGAAGCACAGAGAGTCCCGAACAAGTTGATCTAAGGAGGTCCACACCAAGACACATCATGATTAAAATGCCAAATATTAAAGATAAAGAGCATATGTTAAAAGTAGCAAGAGGAAGGCAGAGAGTTACCTACAAAGGAGTTCCCATAAGACTATTGATTGATTTTTCAAAAGAAACTTTGCATGCAAGGAGGGACTGGCAAGGAGTATACAAAGTGATGAAAAGCAAGGACCTACAACCAAGGTTACTCTATCCAGCAAAGCTATCATATCATTTAGAATGGAAGGGCAGATGAAGTGCTTCCCAGGCAAGGTAAAGCTAAAGGAGTTC